GCCGGCAGCACGCGGGCGTGGAGGAGGTGGACATCCCGTCCAATTCCGTGTACCGCTACCCGCCCAAGTCCGGTGAGGACCGGGCGGGCGCGCCCCCCGGGCTGGGGAGGAGGTCGCGATGCTCCTGGGCGGGGACTCTGGGGGTCCTGGGGACCAAACGGGCGACGTCGCTGCACAGCGATCTTGGAGGGTGGGAGGTCCTCGAGGAAGCGTGGAGGGGTGCTTTAGGGGCCTTGGCGGGGTCGCCGCGGTGGCCAGCCGTCCGTTGGAGGACGTGAGCGGCCTGCACGCAGCCTGTCCTGTGACAGAGACGTGTGCTCGGGGGACTGCGGCTCCTGAGGGGCGGGGTGCCCACTGCGCAGGGGGCTTCTGGCCTCCCGCAGCGCCGTGTCCCCTCCTTCCCGCCCGGGGCCCGCTCTTCTCTCGGGAGCTGAGGGCTAGGTGAGGCGGGTTAGGCATCCGAAACAGGCACCTGTCCTGGGCGCTGGCCCTGATGGGTGCATCCAGACCTCTGGAGAGGGAGGGACAGGCACAGGTTGGAATTAGGTTTCTCAGGGGAAACCTTCCATTGCCCGCTGGAGGGTGGAGGTCGAAAATGCGTTTGCAATGCTGGTGCTTTTCAAGAGGCTGTCAGAAGAAATAAATGTTTAACAGAAATGTTTGGGAATCTAAGTCTCAGAGTCACCCGGTTGTCCCTTTTCCAGAGTAGCGGCAAGCCTGGTTCTTGGAATTCGGATAGCTCTGGGACAGGGCACGGGTATTTAAAATGTATGGAAGTATTATGTTTGTTTTCAGAATCATTAAAAAGATAAGTGTCTCAGCCTCTGGGTTGTGGCATAAGCACTGGAGGTGGAGGAGGATTTTGACAGCAAAGGAGAGAGGATCACAAGTGGATTGAGCATCAGCCAATTCTGAACTGCTGATGCCTGACCTAATGCTCTGCTCTTTATTTTTATTGCTTTTCTCAAGACTTCTGGGGACTGGTGACTACCGTCTTCTCTTTGACTTAGGACCTGGGGAGGATTTGGGTGATCTTGGACAGGTGTCAGAATTGAAGCGGTAGAATAAAGACATGCTAATGAGATGAGCTGCTTTCTCAGCAGTGTGTCCGGTTGGTGCCAGGTGAAAGGAGGGACCAGACAGTGAACCTGCCCCCCTGCAGAGTGTCTGCCAGAGCTGTGTTTCTCACTCTTTTTGTGCCAAAGAATGAATCTTTGCAGAGATGAATATGCTTAAGAGCTGTTTTAGAACAGTGTAAAATAAAGCCGTGGATCATTAGTGTTTTAATAAAGCTCTAGCTAATTCTGACTATATGACACCAGTGCTAAAGGAAGCATGCATTTCGCTTTTTAATAGACAAAAATATGCACAAGTGTTTGTGGATTTTTTTTTCCTGAAATCACTTAGCTTTTATTGATCAGAATATGGAGTATGTTTTGCTGAGCTTGGAGTTTTCTGTAGAGTTTGCTCCCTCAGAAGAGTATTCACAGCTCCTTCACATATGGGAATTAGCACAGGTCAACCTCTGGAAGGCTGTTCCCCAAGCAATATTAATACAAGAGTGAATCTTGGATGATGATAATAAAAGGATAATGAACACAACTAAAACTTTTTTTTTCAATTATTTTATTGGGGTCATATTGGTTTATAACATTGTGTAATTTCAGGTGTACATTATTATTTATCAGTTTCCATATAGAATGCATCTTGCTCATCCTCAATAGTCTAGTTTTTATCCCTCACCATACATATGTGCTCCTTTACCCCTTTCATCCTCCCCCCCACCTCCTTCCCCTCTGGTAACTGCTAATCTGTTCTCCTTGTATGTGTGACTGTTTATCTTCCACACAGGAGTGAAATCATACAATATTTGTCTTTCTTTTTCGGGCTTATTTCGCTTAACGTTATACCCTCAAGTTCCATCCATGTTGCAAATGGGATGATTTTGTCTTTTTTTATGACTGAGTAGTATTCCACTGTATGTATATACCACATCTTCTTTATCCATTCATCAGTTGATGGGCACTTGGGTTGCTTCTCATCTTGGCTATTGTGAATAATGCTGCAGTGAACATAGGGGTGCATAAATTGCTTTGTATTGTTGATTTCAAGTTCTTTGGATAAATACCCAGTAGTGGGATAGCTGGATTGTATGGTATTTCTATTTTTAATTTTTTGAGAAATTGGAGAGGTTTTTTTGTTTTTTGTTTTGTTTTGTTTTTTGGTGAGGAAGATTCGCCTCGAGCTAACCTCTATTGCCAATCTTCCTCTTTTTTTTTTTTTTTTTTTTTGAGGAAGATTAGCCCTGAGCTAACATCTGTCCCAGTCTTCCTCTATTTTGTATGTGGGATGCCTCCACAGCATGGCTGATGAGTGGAGTAGGTCCATGCCCAGGATCCAAACCGGCAAACCCGGGCTGCCGAAGTGGAGCGCACAGAACTTTAACCACTCGGCCACAGGGTGGTCCTGTTCTTTTTTTTTAACAACTCTAAATATTCCTTTGTGTGTACATGCCATCATTTTTTAACATAGTCTCCTACTGATGAACATTTGGAAGTTTTTTTTTCAATCTTTTACTGTTGCAAACAATGCAGCAATGATTAATGTTATGTATGTTCTTTGGTGATTTTTAGCTTTGTTAATAAATACATGAATATTAATCATTTAAGTAACAGAAGGTATGGTGGGAGTTTGTTTCTGTATAGTATTTCTACATTAGCATAGAAAGCTATTTTTAGCACTATTCTGCATTTGGTTGTGCCTTTGTAATTTTTGAGTTAGAAGCCATGCATACTTTTTTTTTTTTTTTAACTAAGTCTGGGGATCATGCATGACTTTTTTTTTATTTTTTATTTTTTTATTTTTTCCCCAAAGCCCCGGTAGATAGTTGTACGTCATAGTTGCACATCCTTCCAGTTGCTGTATCTGGGATGCGGCCTCAGCATTAGAAGCCATGCATACTTTTAAATGTTTCTCCAAGATCTTCTGTTCTTTAAAAGCCCATGATCATTTGTTTAGCAAAGGTATGGCTTTGCTCAGGTGGTTGTTTTATGCATACATGCATGCCCATCTTTTGAAAGGGGTATCCACATTGATAAAAGTCATTAGGCCTGTTTTCTCTATTCAGGAAGAAAAATGCGTTCTATAAAGACAGTTTAATTCATTTTAATTCAGTACCTGATAAACTTGTTCATTTCCCTCTACATATTTGAGCAAACTGGAAAACAGGAGTAATTCATTTTGCTCAAGTGTTAAGAGGTAAACCTATTATAAAAATTCAGAATGGTAATCCGAGTCCTGAGCAGCTAACATCGTCATTCTCTAAATTTCTGTTATATTGGAGTACACACATGCTTGTCATTGGTCTGTCCTGTATCGCAAGAGCAGTTTAAAGTGTGGGTAATAAATCTTTCCCTGTCAAATAATTATAAAAGTTTCTCTTAGCTTTTAGGAGGATCAATTTAATATTAGTTTTGAAACCAGGGACTTAAAAGTATGAAACTTACTACAGAGTAAAGAATTATTTAGTTCTGGCACAGTTTGATTGATACTTTAAAGTTAAGTAGTTTCCTGAAAGTCATAGTAAATACATTTACTTTTTTTTTTTTTTTTTTTTGTGAGGAAGATCAACCCTGAGCTAATATCTGTGCTAATCCTCCTCTTTTTGCTGAGGAAGACCGGCTCTGAGCTAACATCTATTGCCAATCCTCCTCCTTTTCCCCCCACCCCCAAAGCCCCAGTAGATAGTTGTATGTCATAGCTGCATATCCTTCTAGTTGCTGTATGTGGGACTCCGCCTCAGCATGACCGAAGAAGCAGTGTGTAGGTGCGCACCCGGGATCCAAACCCGGGCTGCCAGTAGCGGAGCGCACGCACTTAACGGCTAAGCCAGGGGACTGGCCCTACTTTTTTTTTTTTTTTAAACGTCTTTTATTTATTTTGTGTGTGTGAGGAAGATCAGCACTGAGCTAACGTCTGTCGCCAATCCTCCTCTTTTTGCTGAGGAAGACTGGCCCTGGGCTAACATCTGTGCCCATCTTCCTCCACTTTATGTGGGACGCCGCCACAGCGTGGCCTGACAAGCGGTGTGTCCTTGCGCGCCGGTGATCCGAACCCCGGGCTGCCAGCAGCGGAGCACGGGCACTTAGCTGCTGCACCACAGGACCGGCCCCTAAATACATTTACTATCATAAGAAAACTAAATGTTACTCCATTTAATGATGAAGACATCAAGAACAAGAGTTCAAATGCTAGGGTTTTTTTTTAAACACTTAAGATGTAGTAATTCTCCTACTTTCGAAACCTCCAATATTTTTGCTTTATTTGTACTTTACTTCATTGAGAGCAGACTGATTCGTTTCACTTCTTGATTTTGTCTTAAGATTTAGGGCCTTTGATTCCCTTATATGATGGTAGTTTGTGTTCTTTTGTTCTCCAGCGTCTCTTTCTCTTTCTGTTACCATTAATGAACATTATTGAGCACCTGCTATGTAGTATGCATTGTGCTGTGTATATAGATTCTGATCCTTGTTCACGGTGATTTTGATGCCTCTGGCAAGCAGCAGGATAGAAGCCTTCATGTCAGCTTTGCAATTCAAGATGTGGGTCACAGAAGACAGTATTAACAACACAAGCTATTTGGTGGCTGTATCAGTCGGTTCTCCAGAGAAACAGAACCAATAGGAGATAAATGTAGATAGACATATATACACAATCTTCCTCGACTTACAATGGGGTTACATCCCAACAAACCCATCATAAGTTGAAAATAGTGTAAGTTGAAAATGCATTTAGTACACCTAACCTATGGAACATCATTAACTTACCCTAGCCTACCGTAATTGTGCTCAGAACACTTACATTAGCCCACAGTTGGGCAAAAGCATCTAAGACAAAGCATATTTTATAATAAAGTGTTGAATATCTCATGTAATTTATTGAATACTATACTGAAAGTGAGAAACAGAGTGGTTGTATGGGTACAGAATGGTTGTAAGTATATTGGTTGTTTACCTTCGTGATCACAGGGCTGACTGAGAGCTGAGGCTGGCTGCCGCTGCCTAACATCACAA